TATTTACTGACAAATTACCAAGCAGAATACACATGCTAAGCCTATGCTGTGCTCACCAATGCTGATCAAGCAGGCGAACTTTCCCTGTGGGCTAGGCAAGGTCAGTCTCATCTGGATTCTGGTCATGGTCATGCAGAGGATTTTGAACCGCTCTGATCTTAGGCTGTGTCTTGGAGGTGAGTTCTTCCAGGGCTTTCCTTCTTATTATTCTTCTGTTCCTTCTCTGCTGGTCTCCTTCTTGGACTCCAGTTTATATAGTGAAAATTGAGTCCTGCTTAGCTATACCATAACCAATTATTTTACTAAAATTTTACTAACCAATCCTAACAATGTTCTCTACCCAATTATACCTCACCAACGTACTTAATTTACACCTAGCAAAATTATGTTACAGACAGAAACAGTCAAAGAACCATACAGAGATCATACAGACAAACAATAGGGAAATGGGGACCACAAGTATTGATAAGTGATTTCTTGCCAGACAGAATGCTATCAAACTTAGTTTTCTTTAACTATCTTAAGATCCGTTTCTTTATCTGGTGATGGTGGGTGCTATTAGGACGGGGTCTCAGTCTTAACAGCCTGATATTACATTGTTTTAATGTAATTGAGATGGAATGTGAGGATGTGACTTCCTGTATCCTGTGACCTTATCCTGAATTAAACACAGGATGACAAGGTGATAGGTAGTAAGTGTAATTAATTGTGTCAATATCTCTTACTCTTTCAGTAAAAAAAAAAAAATACATAACTCCTTGCTTGCTCCATGCATACAATGAGCTGCCCTGAACGGTCTCTCTCTGACTCTAAGGGCATGTTGCAGAGCACGCCATATTCACTTTGCTTAGTCTGGCTTTGTTTTTTTAAGTCCCTAGGCATTCTTGGGGGGCACAGCACTAAAATGGTTCAAGAATTTTATGCCTGAATTCAATAACAAACATAAGTAAAATTGATTCCAGTCTTTTAGCGAGAGAGCAAATAGGAACCCTTAGAGCCAGATTTATTTCAGCATTTTGTGCTGTTGGGCATTTCCTGTAATTTTAACTTGCTCTGGTTTGAGAAAGGAATGTACTGAAATGTCCCTGTCCTTGATTTCCTTTTTAACATAAGTATTAAAGGGGTTATTGCAATTGGGGAAGCATTGAAGTAAATTGCAAAAGTTTCCACATTTATTTTTTTTAAATAAATTAGATCACTTTAAAGGCTAATTGCATGTTGCAGTGTTCCCAAGTTGTTAGTTCTGCAGCCATACAATTTCCACCTAAAGTGAGAATTTCCTTATGCTAAATATGTAATGGAGCAAAGGCTGGATGCAGTATATGAAGGGCCTGATTGTTACCTGTGGTGGGGATCATTACAAATATGTATGAGTAACTTTTACTCTGAATAAATTTATTCGGTGCAACTAGTCATGTGAGTAAAATTACTCTCCTTCAAAAGGGTTTGAGTCAGGTCCTTAGCCTCTTGGTCCATTCTATGAGGAAAGTTCCTGTGGGTTCTTCTAACTAGATGTGGGCCCAAACTGAAACTTTGATAAAGGAAGAATAATTACAATAATGCACCAGTAGTCAAGTATTATGAAAACTGCTCTGATTATGACAATTGGGCCACTGCCTTGACTATAGCTGTGATATAAGTGTAAGCTGAAAACATGGTGGGAGATGGAAATCCAACCTAATAGAATGAGTTTGTATTTTAGCAGGTTCCTTTGCCCTCATACTTTAACCCATTTGTGTTGCATATGTTGCTGGCAGTCTTGCTCGCTGAATTTCTCTCTCTCTTTTCTCACCCCTCATCCCCCCAAACACTGGAGTATATCTAACTCCCTTTTTGAGCTTGGAGGCTTGAGTCCATTTTTACTTTACACTACAACAGAAGGAAAAATAATTAAGACCATTTGCTAATTTACATGTAATGTGGTGTAATGGGTCACTTTTAGAGGTTACACTTATTCTTTCAGTGGTTGGCTTCTAAAATACATCTGGATTTCCGCAGAGCTAAAATCAAGAACTCACTGTCAGACCTAACCTATAATATACTTGTAAAGATGTGTATTCTTGTGATAAACCTAAACCCTCTTTCAGCAGAATTAATGAAGACTGAGAACAAGAGTGTATTAAGTTCAGTTGTCTTGTCAATTCCCTTGAGCTTCTATGGCAGATCTGGTAGTAGAAGTAGAAATAGACTTCCTAAATTGTAGGTCAGCCTAACTGAAGGTGTTTGTACTTTAGTGGTTAAGGATGGCAGGGAAGGCAGGACTGGTTACAATGCGCCCTCTGCTGGCTGGCACAAAGAACTTACACATATTTTCCATCAAAACCACTAGAGCAAGAATGCAAGACAGCAGCAAAAAGTGAAAATGGCAACCAGAATAAAGAGTCAGATATCCCAACTAGTCTGTTTCAGTTCTGCAGTGCTACTGCATCTGCTCTGGAGTGTTATCAAATGTATCCTGTGGTACATATGGCATACATTAGCAGAAGTGTATCTGAGTGATAGAAGGTGGGAACTAGCCCAACGTGTGGTGGCTTTTTCAGTACTAATTCTAAACTATGTCATGAAGCATTGAAACCTATTTAGATAGTGTCACTTCCTATCTTAAGCGGGATCACTACAACTAACTAAACTGCATTAGCAAACAGATTTTTTCAAATGGCTCATTCCCCTACAGTACATACAGTACCTGAAATGGTCAGTGTAACCTTCTACACCACTTAAAGTTTCCTTTAAACTATTCCAATCTTCATTCTTTTGAATGAACAGATGTAAAACTAGTGAAATAAAAGTACATAAAAACATGCACTAGTAACTTTACTTTGCCAGTAATAAGACCTCCTGGTTGCAAACTTTTTGTAAGCTTTTGTCTCCTCTAGCAGGTACTTAAGACAGACATATATTTGGCGATAAAGTATTGTTTACCACTAGCATTTTCTTCTTCTTCCTTTTTATTATTTCCTTCCAAGGTAGAAACCTGAACTGACAGGTTCCATCTGGTGGAGACTGTTGTTACTTGGGTTCTCAAGCTATTTGCTAAATGTTCTTTTCTAATATAGGTAAGAGAGGAATGCAGGCTCCTCAACGCTCCACCTGTTCCACCACGAAGTTCAAAGCCCTCGTCCACCAGTCCTTCCATTCCTCCTCGCACAATCAAACCAGCACGGCAACAGACTCGTTCTCCTAGCCCTACGCTGTCTTACTATTCTTCAGGATTGCACAACATGTATGTATTTGAGCTATGAAATCCTAATATTTCCCTCTATAGGGAAATACTGTTTGTCTATGAATTTTTACATTTTTAACTATTCTGAAACTAGCCCAATCAATGTTTTTTTTAAAGTTTTCTGTTAACATATGATGCATGTTGGTGTCACTGCTTCCTGTTAGGGGTTAACTTGGTGAAGTAGCTCTTTTTTAAAATACTCAAGGCAAAGCAAACTCACATAAGCAATTAATTTAATTATACATGGAAAGTATTACTTGATACTTATATATTACCATAGGTGTGCAGAGTACAAGATAGAAAATCTATCCTAAATTTCAAGGGAAATCATATACAATTCTGTATAACACTTAATTTAAAACAATCTATGAAGAGAATGTTAACACCGGGGGGTAAACATGCAAGCCCAAAAATACTTAGCTTGTATGTGCAACCTTAACTCTGTGCAAAATCTTATTAAATATCCTAGCAACATTTTTGTCATCACCCATGCTTTGTACATTGCTCTTAAACATTTGTATTAAAGTTATATTTATTTAGATGCAGGTATCATGTATCGGGGGTAGCCGTGTTAGTCTGTATCTACAAAAACAACAAGGAGTCCAGTGACACCTTAAAGACTAGCCGATTTATTTGGGCATAAGCTTTCATGGGTAAAAAACCCACTTCAGAAGGGTTTGACAATAAACCCAATTCAGAAGTGGGTTTTTTACCCACGAAAGCTTATACCCAAATAAATCTGTTAGTCTTTAAGGTGCCACCGGACTCCTTAGAGGCAGGTAGTAAACTATGAAGCTAATTTATGTTGGAATTACCATGCTAACTCAGACCAGTGGGGCGGTCCTACCGTGTAGTAGGGAAGCGTGTAGTAGGCAGATTATGGAATCGCCTGCCTATTGGGAAAGCTGGTTTCCTAGACTTCCCTTGTAAGAGGTCAGCATATGCCTTGAAGCATGAAGGTTTATGTACCTGTTCAACGTAACTGAATGTTCTCACTGTTCATATAAACGTCTAGTGATCTCTTCCTAAGCCCTACTAGATCCCTGCCTCCTTTAAGTCCTGTGGCACTGAGTTCCAGTAGGGTTGTTTCTGGCGAATGGGAAGGGGTGTCAATAAACATCTTCAAAAGTATTTCCTTGTATTGATCGTTATTGTTGACATTTTTTTAAAAGATGTCATTAAATAGTTCCTTGTTCTTGTATTGTGGCAGAAGATAAACAGGAACAACCAATTTATTTTCTCTGTCCTGTTCATTTTGTACACCACTATGATGTCCTCTCTTACCAATTACCCTCGTAAACTAGACGGGCCTCAAGTTGGATTCTCTAGTCTGCCAAGGCCACTTTGCGCAGCCTAAGTGGCACCAAATGCCCATAAAGTAGTAGGATATGAACAATGGAGAATGACCTTCATGTGCAGGGGTGCTCTTTTCTGTCATAAACCTGCCACATACACTAGCTGCCTCCCCCTTATGCGTAGTACACAGAGAAGGGTGGTGGAGGGTGTCGGAGGCAGAATAGGGAGAGGGAGGAGATGCACTGGGGAGGAGCTCCGCTATGTCTGATCCTCCACTGGTGTAAGTTAGGGCTGCCCCTATGCAGCTATAACGTGTCCTGGGGTGGCAAGGTTCTGAATCAGTGAGCACAGCTGGCTCTCTGCAGCCCCTCTCTGCACTCTGTCTTAGCACACAGTGTCATTAAAGAATACCATAGTATTTGCACTGTTTTCCATCTCATTCCTTATACAGACTAACTTTTTTTTTTCTTTTTGACCACTGCTGCACACTGAGCAGAGGTTTCCATTGAACTGTCACACAGAGATGCCCATGTATCTTTCCTGAGGTATCCATTGTTGGGTTGTTAAGCTTTGTCTACACAGAATTCCCCTGCCTGTGTATACATACTCATGCTAGCTCTCATCAAGCTGAGACCAGTGGGTATGTACTCGGCCATGCCTCGGCTGCCACTACCCTTGCTACCGCGGCTACGTTGCTATTTATGCTTGCACTAGCTCGATGAGAGTTAGGGTGAGTCTGTACATGAGCAGGGGAATCACACCCCTAGCTTGCAGTGTAGAGATAGCCTAAGGGCATGGCTACACTTGTAGATGTAGAGCGCTGTGAGTTAAACCAGCCCTCGGAGACCACAGTAGGGAAAGCGCTGCAGTGTGTTCAAACTGACAGCTGCAAGCGCACTGGCGTGGCCACATTTGTAGCACTTGGTCTGGCATTGGGAGCGGTGCATTATGGGCAGCTATCCCACAGAGCACCTCTTCCCATTCTGTGTCTTGTGGGAAGGGAGAGGGAAGCTGCGGGACATTCTGGGTTCTGTCCCAATGCCCCATGATGCATCGCTTCGCATCCCAGCAATCCCTGTGCTTCCGTCCACATTTGGCGCCATCTTTCAACGTTTTTTGTACTGCGTGCTCTGTCTTCCCTTTCGATCTGTGGGAATGGATCCCGAACTGCTGAGGAATATGCTGATGGGTCTCGCCAGCACGTCACGAATTGCAGTCGAGTTACTCCTTAAGCTACAAACTGACAGTGAGGAGTCTGAGGATGATGTCGACTTACATAACGCATACGACACGAGATTGCTTGTGGCATTCACAGACATGCTCACCACCATGGAACGCCGCTTTTGGGCTTGGGAAACAAGCACTGAGCGGTGGGATCACATCGTCATGCAAGTCTGGGATGATGAGCAGTGGCTGCAGAACTTTCAGATGAGAAAAGCCACTTTAATGGGACTGTGTGATGAGTTCGCCCTCACCCTGCGGCGCAAGGCCACAAGATTGAGAGCTGCCCTGCCGGTGGAGAAGCAGGTGGCTATTGCAATCTGGAAGCTGACAACTCCAGACAGCTACCGATCGGTCACTAACCAGTTTGGAGTTTGAAAGTTGACCTGTTGGAATCGTGTTGATGCAAGTTTGCAGAGCCATTAATCGCATCCTGCTCAGAAGAACCGTGACTCTGGGTAACGTGCATGACATTGTGGCTGGCTTTGCACAAATGGGTTTCCCTAACTGCAAAGGGGCGATAGATGGGCACCAGCCCACCTAGCCTCCAAGTACGTTAATCAGAAGGGGTATTTCGCTATGGTTCTCCAGGCGCTTGTGGATCACCATGGGCATTTCATTGACGTTAATGCAGGCTGGTCTGGAAAAGTGCGTGACGCATGCATCTTTCAGAATACAGGCCTGTTCAGGAAGCTGCAAGCCGGGACTTTCTTCCCAGACCAGAAGATCACCATAGGGGAAGTCGAAATGTCTATTGTAATCCTTGGAGACCCTGCTTACCCTTTAATACCGTGGCTCATGAAACCCTACACAACCCTTTAATGCAATAAAAAAGAATGTTTTCAAAGCCAAAAAATTCATTTATTGAAAAGAAATTTCATTTATTGAAAAGAAACACAACTGCTTGGGAAACGGAAAGGGCATGACACATCTGCTGTGTGGGACAAGGGAGGGCGGTGGGGAATGGGACAATCAAAGATTTGTGTATGTCCTGTTATCATACTCAGCTTCCTGTCTGGAGTGCCGTGCAATGAATGCTGCACTTCAGGCCGGCTAAAATGTATGGTGATGGGGGATGAGTGCAGTGGGTAAGGGTCGTAGTTTGCAGGGCTGGGTGGTGAAGCTACAGGTGTTGGAGGCAGCTGGTGGCGATAAGAACCCAGATGTGGGGGAAAGTGGGTTGGCGGTGACATGGGGGCACAAGAGAGTTTTGAGATAAGGGCTGCGGGGTGGGGGGGAGCGGAAGTGCTCCGCCTGCATTGCTACGAACGCTTGTATTGAGTCTGCTTGATACTCCATTATGCTTAGCAGCCACTCCGTGCTTTGGTGCCGGCGATCTGCATTCTGCTGGTGGACCCTCCTTTCACTCTCCCGCCACTCCTGCACTTTTTGATTTTCATTAAGGGACTGTTGCGTGACTTCATGCAGCATGTCTTCTTTGCTTTTTCTCGTCCGCTTCCTGATTCTTTGGAGTCTTTCGGATGTTGATAACAAGGACGGCTGGGATTTCAAGGTTGCATCTGTAAAGCTAAAATGCAACACTTAACAGAGGCAGCATTGTTCATGCCAGACAGAGCAATGACTTGGCTGTACTTAAAGACAAGCACAGTGTACACACAATATCAGAAATTGCCCGTCCCAAAGCAAATGCACATAACCCACAGGAGCCCCAAAATGGTGAGTAAGCACGGGGGCAAGGGGGACTGATTGTTTCACGGCCGTACTGTCCTGTGGAGTTTTTTCCCTCGGGAGAGCCAACAGCTGCAGGGGCCCCTATACTGAACACTGTCCCCACATTTTCCACAGGAGTTCGTCCTGGAAGATATCTCTCTGCTGAGGGTGATCTGGGAAGCAAGGGAGGGGCTTCTACTACAATGCAGCTTCTGCCCTGGCCCATATGCAGCTTGCCTGTGTGCAGCAATGGTCCCCCCACCCCTCACGGCACAGTGGTGCAGACATGTTAGCCTTACTGGGACAAGGAGCACAGTAGCTCTGCCAAGGAACCTGCGCAAGTGGATTGCCCAGCTTCTGCATGAGACCTTTGAGGAGATCACTGAGGCGGATTACCACAATGTGAGAGGGCACATCAACGCCCTATTCCGCATCTAGGCACGCATGCAGCCCTAACCCTCCTTGCCCCAAGAGCCCACACCAAACAACTTCCTTCCCAAAATAAAAGCTGCTTACCGGGCACCTCCTCTGGTGTTTGTCCTTCCCCAAGCACCTTCTGCTGCGACTGGCTACCTTCCTCCTGGCTTGAAAACAGCTCCTGGCTGCATGCATCTAGGGATGCCAGGCTGTCTCCCTCCTCCTCAGCACCCTCGCTCCTGCTTTCCTCCTCCTCCTCCTCCTCCTGCCTTGTTGAACTGGGCTCTGAAGTGTCCATGGTGGTCTTCGGAGTGGAGGTGGGGTCACCCCCAAGTATCGTGTCCAGCTCTTTGTAGAAACAGCAGGTCGTGGGGGAAGCACCGGAGCAGCTGTTT